GTGTGTGTGAGTGTGTGTGCGCGCGCAGGGGCCGCCGCAGAACGCAGGGGAGGGGCCCGGGACCCCCTCCTCGCCCCTCCCCAGCACCGCCCCCAGCCTCACGCCCCTTACTCGGCTTGGCAGCCTCGCTCTGCTCGGTGCGCCCAAGTGCAAGCTCCAGCTTCGGCTCCAGCTCAGCTTCCCGCTCTGGCTTCGTCTCTGACTCCCGCTCCGGCTCGCGCTCCCGCTCCGGTTCCCGCTCGGATGCTGCTGCGCTCGAGCTCTGGCTCTGGCGTCGCGGGGGGCGCGCCGCTCCTCCTCCGCCTGCTAGGCGCGCAGGGGCGGGGCGGGAGAGGCGGGGCCGAGCCGAACCGACCCGCTGCCCGCGATCCCAAGCCGAGGCAGCGGCGGCTTCCCGAGCCTGGCCGTGCCCTGCCCTGCCGCAGCCCCGCCCGGCCGCCCACGCCACCGCCGCCGGCTCTGGCGCCCCAGGTGGCGGCGCACCTCCTGGGCCTCAGCAGTGCTGCGCGGCGGCTCCGGGGTCTCAGAAGCGCTGCGCTGCCGCCTGGGCCATGCCTCAGATTGGGGGACGCAGGGGCGGGGGATGGCCTAGACGCCCCCCTCTGCGCACAGCTAGCCCGACGCCCACCAGCGGCAGGCGGGGCGGGCGCGTCGGGGTGGTCTAGAGAAACTGGAGGTCGAGAGATGGGGGAGGCCTGCGCGCCAGTCAGACGTGTGAGGACAGAGGCGTGTGTAGAGAATGACATACAGACTGAGGGGAGCAGAGAAGGATAGACATACAGACATGTGCAGAGAAGGGTAGACAGACTATGTGTCTAGGGAAGGACAGCCACACAGGTTGGTCAGAGGCAGGGCTGGACACTTGGGCAGGTGAACCTTGTTGCTGCCACTGGGAGGGACAGGCAAGCCTGGCAGGGCCTCCTGCTCCCGCCCTACCCTGGGGCCTTGGACAAGCCCACCCCATCCCCCCAGGCCTCTCTTCATTATAGTAGATCTCCTGTTTATTGTACCCCTGCAATGTGAGGTGCTCTCCAGTTATTTGTGGAGTCATTTGTTAAATCTCCCCTACCTGGCTGGTAGCCCCAGGAGGGAGACCCTTAGGGGCCTGCACAGAGCATGCCCTCTAAATTTGATGACTGACTTGATGAAATACTTTGTTGATAACTCTCTTCTAATCCCCATTTTGTTGATGGTAGTTAGTTTATCAAACATAAAACATGATTTACAAAAGTAAAAAAATATATCACTTATTAAAAAAATAAAACCTGATGACAAAGAGCTGCACATGTTGATGATAAAACTTGGGGAAGCAGAGGAGCCGTGGGGATGGCATGGAAGAGAAGTGAGGCAGCCACGGGCACTGTAGGAAGGGTGGGGGCAGAGTAGGCTCTGATGGAGAACACAAACCTCACTGGACCGCGGCTCTGCCAGTCACCATGTCTTGGGCTTCCCTGGGTGGAGGCAGAGGGGCCTGCATGGTCTAGGGCCTCAGTGCGTGAGGACACTTCCCAGCCTTCTTTGGTAACAACTGTTTCTTCTGGGCTCTGCCTCCTGCTCTGTCTTCCCCATTCCCCCGAGACTGGGAGAGGGTGGGCTTCAGGCTGGGGGATTCCAGCTCCATCGGGGGCTGTCATGGGAACGTATGTGTTATGCAGTTGAGGGGCCCAGAGTAAAGGGAGACATCTCTGAGTCTTAAGAAAGGGGACCTGAGAGGGTCTTTGTCCAACCTCATGCATTTATTTTATGGATGAACAAATAAAAGGCTAGAGGAAGGAGGGGATGGGCCAGGACCAGGGCCAGGACAAAGACAGATTAGGATTGGAGGCTCTAGGACTCCCCGGCTAGGGCTGTGCCTCTGCACAACCCTGCTAAAGGTGATGTTGACTTCCCTGAGCAGACACCTGTTGATCCTTGGTTGTTTAGTGGTTTCACCTGTAGTCTGTCCCCTTTGGCAAGTGTTTGTACATGCACACCCAGGGAGAAGCCCTGAGACAAGACCTACTTCCATAAGCAGAAGACAGAGAGAGACCAAAGCAGGCGGCTGGCCACTCCAGTCTGGCAACTAACGGAGTTTACTAAGGGAAACTTACATATGAAGTGTGTCTTGGTGGATGGCAAGATGAAATGGATTCCACTGCTTGGCAGGTGCCAAAGGAGTATATAAAGTAAAGGGGGTACTAGTACGGGAATGCTACCAGGTACGGGAAATTACATGTTTGACCAGGTCAGGACAACAACCTGTTCCAGGAACCAGCACATTGCAGGAAGCAAGGGAGGGGTGCTGATTTGTGTCAGAATGGACATCAATAACAGTCTCTAAGAGGGGTTTGCAGAAAGCAACCTCTGTTCTGGCCCAGGTACAGCTTGCAGGACAGACAATGATCGTGTCATGGAGCAGTCTGTCCTCCACAGCAAGGCGATGTGTAGACGTGGTTTGTGGGTGTGGAGGTGGCTCACTTTGAGTGAGTCCTTGTGGAAGGTCCCAGCCCTAAAGAGCTCAGTCCCCTCCACCCTCCGTTTGGGCTTGTTCTTCACACTGGAACCCAGAACTGGTTTCCACTGGGGCTGGCAGTATTGTATCTAGTTTCAGTAAGTTGGGTTATGACTATTTGCCTATGTATCTATCCACCCACAAATATATACTAGTGTAGGACACTTGGGAAACATCAAAAGGAGAAAGAAGAACATAAAAAGTGATCATTGTTAATATTGAGGGTTTTCTTTTAAAGATTTTATTGGGGAATTGGGGAGGAGAACAGACAAGTTGCTGTCCTTTTGTTCTTCAGTCTAGTTGTGGAGGACGTCGCTTCACTGACCCATGTTGGTGTTATCATTTTGCTCTTTCCGGGTGAGGCAGATCGGTTGCCGGCCTCTGGATGGCAGCTCACGGCGGCTCTTGGCAGCTCACACCGGCTGCCAGCTGCTCACGCTGGCCGCTGGCCACACACGGTAGCTTATGGCAGCCCACTGTAGCAGGGGCTGCAGCCTATGCGTCGCCGCGACTCATGGCAGCCCAGCTCCAGGTCGAGCTGTTGTTCACCATCTTAGCTGTAGAGGGCGCAGCATCACTGGTCCTTACGTGGGATCCAAACCGGGGTCCTGCTGCTCAGAGCTGGTGTCCCAAGCCAACTCTTAACCAACGTGCCATTCGGCCAGCCCTTGAGTTTTTTTTTTTTAATTGCGTAACTCTACAAGTGTCCTTAAGTGGGGCAAGCTTGCTGACTATCTATCCTCCTATGTCACACTTTTAATGGCTGCCTAGCATTACATCAGATTGTTGTACTATGTTTTATTTAACCAATCCTGTATTGCTGGGCATTTAGTCTATCTCCAGTTTTTCACAGTTCTAGACAAGACTACCATGAACATCTTCATGGGTAAGTTTGTGATGTCCATTATGATTCTTTATTTCAGTGGATACGTCCATATATTTTTGAGGCTTCTGTATGGGGTCTGAATTTGCAGGAGGAGCATCTCCTGGGTACCAGAGAAGCACAGTGGTCTTCAGTGTCTGCTTGGTCAAGGGCAGGGTTGGAAGGCTGGAGGGAGGAGCCTGTGGGAAGTCATGTAGTGGCATCTCAGGACAGAGGTGCCCTGGGAGCCCCCGAGTGCCAGGCTCTGGGGACTTGCCCTAGAGTGTGCTCTGTATGACCCCTGTCACAGGATATGGTCAACTTATCAATTCAGATGTTGGGGAATCTTCTGATACTTAGGGGTGGAGGAAGGGAAAGGAAAAAGCCATCAGGATGGTCTGGCCTCTGCGTGGGATATCTGTTTAAAACACCCATCAGACCTTTCGAGAAGGTTACGTCTTGCTAGTATATTCTTTATACGGAATGATATCCAAAGCATCTCCCCAGCCTTGAATTACATTACAAAGGGCCCAGCTATCCAGATTGCCCTGGCTTTAGGGGTGGGGAGCATACCATATTCTAAAAAGGAAGGAGGTGAGGGAAGAAAACCTACCCCACTGGCTTTTCAAAGTGTTTTCCCTTTCCCTGTGAAATTTGCTAACAGTCCCCTTGAACATGTCTCAGTGGTGTCAAGGGGAGATGAAGGAAAAGACCTTGGTTCTTGCTTGGTGAGCGGTAGGGCCAGGGGCAGCGCTTTCCTAAGGCCAATGGGCTCAGAGGCGGCGCTAAAGTAAAGAAAGGGAGCTCGGAGGTGGGGAAATAGCCTGTGAAACTCAAAGCAGCTCCTTCTGGAACTGTCCTCTGCTGAGAGCTTGGAGCGTTTTCCTTTCTTGTGGCTTCACCTCACTTTACAGATAAGGAGACTGAGGCCCTCTGATTTTCAGTGGCTTTCCAGAGATGCACAGCTGGTTAGGTGAAGCACTTTAAAATTGCAGAAAAGATTGCCAGGTGTCCTTCTAATTGAATATTAAGTGTTACCTGGCGCACAGTTATCTGCTTCTCTAGGGATTTGTGTGTCTCATGGTCACTGAGCTATTTTATTTATTTATTTATTTATTTATTTAAGATTGTTATTAAAAAATATAGTTAGCATACAATATTAGTTTCAGGTGTACACAATAGTTATTCAACATTTATATACCTAAAGAAGTAATCACCATAAGTCTAGCAACCATCTGACACGATACCACGCTATCACAATATTATTGACTGTGCTGTACATTACATCCCCATGACTTATTTGTTTTATACCTGGACGTTTGGACCACTTATTGCGCTTCATCTTACCCCTCCCCCCCTTTAAAATTTTCCAGTTGACATTCAATATTATTTTATATTAATTTCAGGTGTATAGCATATGGTTAGACATGTATATAATTTAAGAAGTGATCCTCCTGACTAGTCTAGTACCCACCTGGCACTATACATAGTTATTACCACATTATTGACTATATTCCCTAGACGTTACATCCCCATGATTATTTTGTAACTACCAATTTGCACTTCTTAATTCCTTTGCCTTTTCACCCACCACCCAAACTCCCCTCCCATCTGGCAACCACTAAAATGTTCTCAGTATCTTTGAGTCTGTTTCTGTTTTGCTTGTTTATCTTGTTGTTTAGATTCCACATGTAAGTGAAATCACATTGTATCTCTTTCACTGTCTGACATACTCTACTTAGCTCAATATACTCCAAGTCCATCCATGCCACCGCAGATAGCAAAAACCCATTGTCTTCCCATGACAGAGCAATATTCCACTGCATGTACAAGGTGTGATCAAATAATACAGCGAATGTTTCAATAAAAAAAGTT